TTCAAAATGAAAAAAGTAATAATTAGATTATTCAGTGTAGATGACATTTATATTAAAAGTGACTATCCTACCTGAAAAAGTCTACAGACAATGCTAAATTAGTAAAATTATCAAGACACTTATTAAAAATGGACAAGATAACACAACATGGAAAAGCAAAACATGAAACATGAAGGGAAAGAAAAAGTAGGAATAAAAGGAGTTGGTATTATAAAATCACCAAATATATTTCAGAGCAGGAATTACCAAAAACTATATTGCATGGCATCACTGACAGAAAGTAGAGGAAATCAGTTAAGTAAAAAGCAAGCACGTGTAGCAGTCTAGAATTTGATCTGTTATGGAAAAAAATAGGAAGTTCATATGACAAGTAGGTTTAGATGAAAAGCTCATGAGTTATGTTTTGGTCACATTGAGTTTGACATACCCACATGAAATACTATTTCAAAATGTCTAATAAGCAGTTGATGTTGTGGGACTGGATCTCAAAAGAGAGATTATCCTGAACATAGAAACCTGAGTGTCATAGCACAGAGATGTTAATTGATCCAGGAGAGTGGATAAGTTCACCAAGTGGGGGGAGGGGGGGAGAGAGACAGAGACAGTGTCAGAGAGAAAAGCAAGAGCAGGACAAAGCTTTGAGCAATATCCATGTTAACTGGGAAAGACATGAATGATGATCCCGCAAAAGAGACTGAAGAGCAGACAAACAGTTGAGACTAGAACTGAGATGGTACTGTCATTGAAAACTCAGAAAAGAGAGAACATCCAGGTGGAGACGGTGATCACTAGTATGAAATGTTATAAAGAGATCAAAAGGATGCATATTGAGAAGATGTTATATTTGGCTGTTATCATGGGCAATTCAATACTAGTTGAATGATGAGTATGAAAGCCAGATGACTTACAGAATGGGAGGGAGAAAAGTAGAAAAAACATTGTTGTCAAACTTTTTCAGAGTTTGATTGAGGAAAGTGGGGACAATATAGGGCAATAGTTTAAGGGGAGAGTAGGATCTAGTGAGATTTTTAAAGTATTCAGAATGATTTTGCTTAATTGACTCTGCCTCAAATTTGTTTTGTTTTTAAACTAGTTTGACCTTCCATTGCTTCTATTTTAAGAGGTAATTCTTCTCATGATGCTCCATCATACTTCTCCCTAAGATTTGACAAATGAGTTTATATTGTAATCTTGTTTCTTGATTGCCACATCTGTTTACTTGGTAAGTATATTTGGTGCTTAGGATGCTTTTACAAGTTGTTTTGGTCTCCTGGTTATGATGTTTGATTTATATCAACAAAACTTCTGTATTAATTATTGTATGTGTCATTGCCATTTCTTCTATTATTCATTTTTCATCTTCATTTTATCCCACAATGGTTCAAATGCCTTTTCATTATAGAAATTCACTCCACTGCTACAGTGCCTTCCTTCAATTGTTTGCTTCCTCCCCAAACTTCTATGTCTCCATTCCTTTCCAAGTGCTGATTCTCTGAATTTTTTCCACAATAACCCTGGTGAGTCCTTTTTCTCTACCCTACCCTCCATGTTTTACAGACTCTTCTGTTGTGTTGTCTTCTCCTATTGGAATATGAGCTCCCTGAGGTCAGGCACTGGCTTTTTACTTACTTGTATTTGTATTTCCAACATTTCACAGTGCCTGACACATAGTAAATACTTAATAAATATTTGTAGATTTGTTGACTCAGTAACTTATTTAAATAAGTTAGAATAGTATTGTTTTATTTAAGTGCCCTATGTTATTCTCATTTTTATTTTAGTTTGTAATATTTTTTATCTTTGATCTAATGAGTTAGCACTCAGATTAAAGCATAATTTTATTTAATTTTTCTTTTTGGTGGGTGTTTTCTTTTGCAACATGGCTCATAAGAAATGTTTCACATATATGATCGATATCATATTGCTTGCCTTTTCAAGGGATGGGAGAGGGAAGATAGGAAGAGAATTTAAAATTCAATTAAAAAAAATGAGTGGTAAAATCTTGAAATGTACTTGGAGATATTTAATAAAACAAATAACATATATATATGTGTGTATATATATATATATATACATATATATTTAAAAAACAAGTCAGCACTCTACCTATATAGAATTAAGGAATGACTCATATTTCAGTAACTACCTTTCAGTTCCTATCTGTTAACATAGAAATAATTTCATTTTGATTAGGTTATTCAGTGCTCCAAAGCCTATTCATCTGTCTAAGAAAGTATGCCTTCAAGATTGTAGAGTAAAGGGAGGGACTTGGCTTATTTCTTCCAAATCACCCTCCAAACAATTTTAAAATAATGCCTCAAAACAGATTCTAAAACAGCAAAACTAACAAAAGGACAGGGTAAAATAATATTCTAGCCCAAGACAACTTAGAAGGTTGTCAGGGAAAGTCTGTCTCACTGGAATAAGAAGGGAGTGCAAGTCCAGTGTATGCCACATGCAACACCTGGCAAACCAGCAGTGAAACCCTGAGCTCCAGCAGTGACACTGGGTGCAGGACTCCATGCATTGCCAATACTAGGTTCTGGGTCACAGTCCCAGGACTAGGAGGAGTACTAGCACACTAGAACCTGGTAATAGGATTGTGGGGTCCCTCGTCAGAGTTCCAGAGTAGAAAATAGCATTTGACATTGCTCACATACCAGAATACAGGCCAGGAGAGCATGACAATACCTCTCCTTAGATCACACTACCTCAGAAGAAGTGAAAACTTACAGACTCACAGAACTAGTTCTGAAGACAAGAGAACAAAAAATGTGAAGCTTTTGTAGAAAGCAATACTACAGTGCCTTCTCCATTCTGAGACCAGGGGTCAATTTAAACATGAAACTAAAAGTCAAGAAATGGGCTGGAAAAATGAATGAGAACTTGGTCATGGAAAGTTGTTATGGTGATAGGGAAGATCAAAACACAAACCCAGAAGAGAACAACAATGTCAAAAAGGCTACATGCAAAGCCTCATGAAAAATGTGAATTGATCTCAGCCCCAAAAAGAACTCATGGAAGAGCTCAAAAAGGATATTAAAAGGAAAAATTGGGAAAAGAAATGAGTGAAATAAGATGAAAATAACATCTTAAAAATAAAATAGTCCAAATGGTAAAAGACAAAGTGAAAGTAAAAATAGATCTAATTAAAAGAAAAAAGCAGGGAAACTATACTTTGCTAAAAGGCACTATATACAATGAAATAATATCAATACTAAACATATATGCTCCAAATGGTATAGCATCCAAATTCTTAAAGGAAAAGTTAAATGAGCTACAAGAAGAAATAGACAATAAAACCATACTAGTGAAGAACCTCAACTTCCCCTTCTCAGAACTACGTAAATCTAACCCATAAATAAACAAGAAAAAGTTAAGGAGATGAATATAATTTTAGAAAAAAAATAGATATGAGAGACCTCTAGAGAAAATTAAATGAGAATAAAAAAGAACATAACTTTTTTCTAGTTGTATGTGGCACCTATACAAAAATTGACCATGTATTAGGGCATAAAAAGCTCAAAAGCAAATGTAGAAAGACAGAAAATATTAAATGCATCCTTTCTGAATATAATGCAACAGAAATAACATTTAATAAAGGGCCAATACTTTTGTTGCCATCCTCAACTATGTCAATCTTTGTATAGAAGTAACAGAATATTAAAGTATATGTTGACTTGACTTGGAGGGTTTTATTGAGCTCTTCATAGAATTGTTCTAATTCTTCATCTTCTGAAACAGATTATTTTTATGATTTTTTTTGTAAATACTTATATTGACACAGCTAAGTAGTGCAATGGATAGAGTGCCAGGCCCGAAATCAGGAAGACTCATTTTTCTGAATTCAAATGTGATCCGAAACATTTACTAGCTGTGTGACTCTGGGCATGTCACTTAACCCTGTTTGCCTCAGATTCTCATCTATGAAATGAGCTGGAGAAGGAAGTGGAAAACCACTCTAATATCTTTGCCAAGAAAACCCAAAATGGGGTCATGAAGAGTCAGACACAAATTAAATGAACAAAAAACAACAAAATATGAATGCTTCAATATGAAATTACCAACTAACCCATGAAATGATGTTTCTTATTACTCTTTGGAATACATTAAACCACCTCTGTAAAATCCTCTATTTGTCTCTCCATGGAGAGGTTGTGAGCCTTCTTTCTATTTAGCTAGAATGATGTTTTCATTTATGGTGAGAATGTTGAGATTGATATGATTCAGTTTTTTATGTCGTTATAAAGGTCACTCACTGGACATGGATTTCATATTTAAAGTGCCACCAGCTAAGCTAAAACTTAAATAAAATGAGATAATAGTTATAAAGCATTTATCATTGTGCCAGCACATAGTAAGTACCAAATAAATGTTAGCTATTATTATTATTTTATTATTATTTAATCTAAAAACTAATTTTTAGCATCTACTTTCCCCTTGTCTACCACTCTGACAATTTCACTACTGAAACCAAAAGGAAGCACACAGGATTTAAGTCCACTCTGTGTTTTCTTTGTTTCATGGATTTCCATGGCCCAAGTGACCAGATTGCTGGTCTTTCCATATTTAACTAGACTGGTATTGAGAAAGTAGTCCTGAGGCACTGCTGAGTCCATACTTTGAGCCTTCTCAATGTGGTAGAATTGGTCAGAGGTTATATTACACTGACAATCTTTGAGAACTTAGGGTCATATCCATGTCATGATGAGGCATCAGAGAAGGACTGTGGAGGTCCAGATAATTAGAGTTTCTAAACATAAAAAGTAACACCCTAAAAATAAGATACAAGAAAATAGAAGTTTTCTTTCTCATAAATGTGGATGTGAAAAATGCTTATAATCACCCAAGGGAAGGAGAATATTATAAAAAAATTAAATAAATTCTTTTTGATGATCTAAAACATAAGGACTTTTACACAAACTCAATTCAGAAAGAGTTAGGCAAAATATAGATTATAAATGAATCTTTGCATTATGTTTCACTAATAAATGTCTGATGTTGTTGCTTCTATAGAATATACACTAAAACTAGAATCCCACAGAGAAGATTAGCTTGGCCCCTACACAAGGATAAATGCAAATTTGTAGTGTTCCATATTTATAGGCTAAAAATAGATACGTGACTTGAATATAAAAGGTCATATCACAAAAAATAGAAGAGAACAAGATCAGTTGCTTTTCACAAATATGGCCTGGTTAATAATTATTAATTATGAGGGTAGCTAGGTGGTGCAGTAGATAGAGCACTGGCCCTGAAGTCAGGGGGACCTGAGTTCAAATATGGTCTCAGATCAAACATTTGACACTTACTAGCTGTGTGACCCTGGGCAAGTCACTTAACCCCAATCACCTAAAAAAAAAACCAAAACAAAACAAAAAAAATTATTAACTATATAAAGGATGGGGAGATTACAAAATGAAAAACAATTTCAAATACATAAAAACAAGAGACTCTTGCATAAATAAATTCAGTAAAGGATTATGAGATAAATAGTAGAATGAGAAAATATTTCTATCAAATATATATCTGATATACAAATTATATATGGAACTGATACAAATATATAATACCAAGAGCCATTTCTCAATGGATAAGTGGTTTACAAATATGAACAGCTAATAAAAGAACTATTGCAAACGAAAATTGATCATGGGGAAATGTGCCACCCATCACTAATAGTAATAGAAATGCAAAAAGCAACTCATTGGTTTCACCAGCAAGATGGCAAAGATGATTTTTAAAATGTGAATAATAAATGTCGGAGGGGTTATTGGAAGATAGACAGCTTTAGGTGCTATTGATGGAGCTAAAAAGCAGTCCAACTATTATGAATATCAATTTAGAATTATTTTTTAAAGTGACTAGTCTGTCCACATATGCTTTGACCCACATATGCTTTGAGTCTCCACTTTATGCCGAAATGTTCCATCTTTCTGGGGACAAAGAAATGGAATCAAAGTGGGCATCTTTCAAATGAGGGATCGCCAAATAAACTTTAACATGTGAATGTAATAGAATACTACCATATAGTAAGAAATGATGAACATGAAGACTCAAGAGAAATTCAGAGATTTGTATGAACAAATAACAGAGTGAAGTAAGGCCTTACTTCCATTTTCCATTGAATTGTTGAAAAAAAATGCATACATATATATATGTGTGTGTGTGTGTGTATATATATGTATATATATGTATATACATATATATATATAATCTATTATGTCATTAATATGGGAATTCTCTCTAATGGTGCCAACTATAACTTACAAACCCCTTCTTACCCTGAATAATTCTTGTCTACATCCTTCAGTTAATCATCCTCTGGGAACTGACCCAAGACTTCCTGCTGGAAGCCTTCTTGATCATCTGATGTTAGGCACCAAAGCAGCCTGAGGTCTTTCTATGTGATGTTCTTCATTCTTCCCACATGAATGGGTCACCTCCTTTTCTAGTTATTCATTTGCCTTTTGGACAACTCTAACTCACCCTGTCCAAAACAGAAGTCATAAACTTTCCCCAAAAACCTTTCTCCTTGTCCCAACCTTCCTATTACTATAAAGGGCACCACCATCCTTCCATCCACAAGACTTATAGCCTTAATGTTATCCTCCATTCCTCATACCAATCTGTTGTGAAATCTTGTCATTTCTACATTTACAGTACCCTTTGTATATGCTTCCTCCTCTCTACTCACCCAGCCACCACTCTAGAATAAGCTTTTATCACTTCTCTCATCTGTACTGCCGAAATATCTATATAGGTAGTCTCCCTGCCTCAAGTTTCTCCTCACTCCAGTCCATCCTCTGCCCAACTGCCGAAATGATTTTACTAAAGAGTAGGTTTTACCTCAATAAACTCTGGTGCCTCTGTATTTACCTCAGGGATGAGGCTTAAATTTTCTTTTTGGCATTTAAAACTCTTCAAAACCCAATTTCTTCCTATGTTTCCAATTTTCTTTCATTGTACACCTCTGCATACTCTATAATCCAACTTCATTGGTCTAGCTACTATTCCTCACATACAACATTCCATCTCCACATTCACATTTTTTTAATGACTTCCCCTATGCCTGTTCTCTCACCTCTGCCTCTTAACTTCCTTCATTTATCCTACCTTCCACAAGAGGCCTTTCCCATCTCCCCACCATTTCCAAAGCCTCCCTCTGATATTACATGATGTATACTCTTTATGTATCTTGGATGTCCCTATTTGCACATTTTCTCTCCCTTTAGAATGGAAGCTCCTTGAAGGCAGGGAGAGTGGTTTTTGTTTTTCCCTATCTTTGTATCCCTAGCAGTAAAGTGCCTCATGAATAGTGAACACTTAGTAAAATACTTGTTGACTAACCGATTCCTTTTATGCTACTTCATGCATGTGATTCATTGTTCAAAATATGCTTCACCCTATTTATAATACCCACAATGGATCCCTCCATTGACCTTTGGTTGATCTATAATTTTAAGCCTTTAAAGATTTGGGTAGTTTATGATTCATAGCTATATAACATTACCAGAAGGACTTTAGTATTAGTAAAATGGGATTTTGTTTCAGGGAGAATTTTAAGGTCATTGAAAGTGTTACATAATTTCCTAAATCTGTTCCAGCCAACTGTCTTCTTCCTAGTCAATTCTACTTACTACCAGTATGACCTTGGTCAAGTAATTTAACACATAATTAACCTCTTTGGGCTTCAGCTTCCTGATCTGAAAAGTGAAAGGTTTGATTATATGACCTTAAAGTCTCCTTCCAGATCTAAATCTGTGATCCTGTGATAATTCAATGACCCTGGAAGTTGTATCAAAAATCTGAATTCTTTTTGGAAAAAGAACTATGCTAGTAACAACAGTAATAATTAGTTAATTGTTTTCATACATGTTGTCTTTTTGCCATATCCAAGTCCAGAAGGTTAGGTGGATAATAGTTTTCACTAATTAAGACCAAATGATAATATCTGCAGAGCAAAAAAAGCAATTAGCAAATTTATAACATCCTTCTTTGTATATTTTCAATTTTCAAAGCTGAATGTTAGCTTAAACAATGCTAATTAACTCTGCAAGTCTTCTCTCAGTTTAGTTCTGCCAATGAGGCATGCCATAGCAAACTTTCTCTTGTTGTACCGCCAGTCCCAATCATAAAAGCTAAACAAATGCTGCTTGATTAACTCAGGAGCTCCAGTTTAAGTGGCAAGCTCATGTTTCTTTCTCTCATATTCTTAACCCTATTCCTCCCAATAAGGTTCACACATAAGAAGGATACTGGCTAGTGAACATTTCAAAATGGGATGTCCTTAAAATTTTTCAAATTCAATGTGTCCAAATCTGAACTTACCTTTTCCAATCAAATGAATCTCCCTTCTAACCATTCCTATTTGTGTCAAAGGTACCACCCTTCTTTCTCAGGTTCATAACCTCAGCATCATCCATGACTCCTCTTTCCCTCAACTTATATACATCCCATCAGTTTGCAAATGTTTCTGTTTCTATCTCCACCACATTTCACATTCAACATGTTCTCTACTCACACAGCCACTACTTCAATTCAGAACAACATCACCTCTTGCTTGGACTATTGCAACAGCCTATTTGGTCTTTCTGTCGTCCCTCTCCCAACTCCAATATAGCTACCCAACTGATTTTCCTTAAGTACACAACTAAATCTGCTTTTCCCACTAGCCTATAAACTCAGCCTTTAGTAGAAAATATCAACTCCTCCATTTGGTTTTTAAAGCCCTTTACAATCTGTCCTGTACCTACTTTCACAGATTTCATATACATTGCTCCTTCTTCCTGTACTCTCCATTCCAGACAAATTGTATTTCACATTTAGAACTCTATCTCAACCTCTAACCATGACATGATGCCTCTCATTTCCCCCAAATGCAGGTGCCCTCCCCAGTTAGCTTATATTTAACTACCTTGTATTGATTTGTATTTGTTCTTTTTATGTATATTCTTCAAATATTTAGATTTATACATTTTAGAATATAAGGTCTGTTAGAGTAGGAATTGTTTCATAGTTTTTTGTTTGTTCATTTATTTTGGTCTTTTTATCCTCAGCACCCAGAATAGTGCCTGGAACTTAGCATGTGCTTAATAAATGCTTGCTAATTAAGTTGTACACAGAAATTTGTGAATTTTTTCCATGATTTTCCATGACTTTCATATCTTCCTATATATCCCAGCCCTTGCCATTAGACTCAGGGTCTTATATTGACCATCCTTCTAACAATCTGGCCCCTGAATTCCTCAGTTTCTCCAATTCCAGTGGTCTTCTTCACACTAATTCTACCCTGCAGTTGTATGACCACGCCTATGTCTCAATAACTTTCTGGAGTATACAATCTCACAAATCTAGAATTTTACAAATACAATCATTGAAGAATATATTCCCATCTTCCTACTTCTATTATCTCATTCACACTAAAATCATATCATCTGGTTGTCCCATCCCTTTTCTTGTGATACATCTCTCTACTTAGCCTTGGTTTGCTTCTATAACTATTTTTGATCCTATTGTCTGCCATTTTCATGTCTCATTATTCACACCCTGAAATCTCCTGCCCAACTAAGTACAGATAAAATATATACTGGATCAATTGAGGGCAGTACCTCATGGAAGGCAATGTGATTAAGGAAGGCCCGAAAGTTAGAACTTTAGCTGATGCTTGAAGGAAGCCAAGAAGTAAGCAGGTAGAGATGAAGAGAGACAGAATTCCAGTCATTAAGGCCAGCTAGTGAAAATGCCTGGAATAGGGAGATAGAGTATCATATGTGAACAATAGCAAGGAGGCCAGTTTCATTTGGTTGAAGAGTACAAAACAGGGAAAATAAGGTTTAAGAAGACAGAGAATGTAGGAAGGGACCAGGTTATGAAGAGCTTCCAAAATCAAACAGGAGATTTTAAATTTATACCTAGAGGCAATGGGAAGTCATTGGAGTTGATTGGATGAAGGATAATTTATGCTTGAGAAAAATCAATTTAACAGTTGAATAAAGGAAGGACTGGAGTTGGGAGAGATTTGAAGCAAGTAGGTTAACTAACAGACTACTGCAATAACCCAGGTTTGAGGTGATGAGGGCCTGTACCAGAGTGTGGCAGTAT